CTCTAAGCATGGATTCCTTGACGCGTTGTATTGACTAATCTTAAGAAGCTAATCATTGATAAACCTTCTGGTACTTACGAGACGATTACATTGGGCGTGCCGCGTCATGTAAAGTAAAGAACCATTTACCTATATACATCTACGAATTCAAATTAATTTGCTCTATCTGTTATCCTAATTATGTAATTGTCTCATAGATCAATTTATTCTTTAAGGACAAAAACCTCACCTTCAAGCACTGATTACAACCATAATCATCAAGTCTTTAGACATGAGCAGCCATTGGATATGTTAACAATCTGCCATCGAAGTTAAGTGTAGGACCGAGTAGTCTATGTTCTCCAGGACCCCTGAACTATTGAGTAAATGATTTCAGGATTATGGAGCTTGAGAGTAGTTTAATTTATCCAACTTTAGACTAAGGGTCTCAAGGGTTCATTGTTAATTCATTTCAGTGGGTTTTATTTACAACATAGGTTTGGTGATTGTATTTTTTGATGAAAATATGGAAACTAGTATAGTGGTTTCTCCATGTCTCTCTCTATAAGACCTTTTATACTCCCTGTCACGGAATTGAACAATTATTATTATATGTAATTATTTTATGGATGACAGATTGGGAGGTTTATTGAGAGTTCCCTCAAATCTATAAAAACCTGCTATCTTTGTTGTGGAAACCTTGGGGGAGTTATGTTATTTTGATTATTCACATTGTTTGGCCGTTAGTGGAAGGAGAGGGAGGGAGAGGAGTGGGGTTGAGAGCGCGGATATAGGGTATTGGGTGATATTGAGCGAATTTGGTGCTTCTTGTTGGTGTGCCAGTCCTGAGATATAGGAACGTCTTCTCTTGTTATGTGTTTCTGGTGGGTTAAGATGGCATAACGAGATTCGTACATGTGGGTTTTGCCTAGACCAGGTGAAGAAATCGATATATATATCTTTGTATTGATTTTTTCTGTGTTACGGTTAACTTGATTTTGTGTTCTTGGGTGGTTTTGTTTGGGTACATCTGCTCATTCTTTGTTTAGATATAGTTATGACAATATCTACGGTGCAGACTGTTTTTTGAGCTTCCTAACCAGGGTGGAGATGTGTGATGAAGAGGTTATTGCCTGATTCGCAGCAAACCTCAAACAATTCACTGCCACTCCACATGGATAAGTAAAATTCATTGGTGTTGTGTCCATTTGGTGATTGTTTTGTTGTTAGCATTGTGTTGTATTTAGTTGTGTTTCTGTGCACCACTGGTCTGCAAGTTTGTTGATTTTTTCCCAAATATGTTTTGTTGTTCTCTTTGGTGGTTGTGGCCGATGTTTGTTGAATTGTTGTCTGTTTTTTGTCTCCATGCCGTGGGTCGGATGCAAGTTGGGTGTTACCGAGTCGGAAATGACAAGGAGGTGGGGACGCAGGCAACATGCAGGCCCTGAGCGGAGTTATATTCGGAAGTGAGGAGGTGTGGGACTCAATTTTCAGTCTGAATTGTCTTATAGTGGTTCCTAGTGCTTGCTTGGGATGTTGTGGCTTCTTTGTATAGTGGTTTGAAAACATAGTTTCCAGTTTCCTTTTTTAGAGCACTGGCTACCAGGGGATGTTTTGTGATGATGTTGTGCTTGTTGTTCTTTATGTGACATGAGTTAGGATTACATTGTTCAGTAATGCGGAGCGAGTCCAGCTTATGCACATGCTTCTTTGGTGTGTTTTTTTATTTTGCTCTTTATATTTTTTGATAGTGACTAGGCGTGAACGTACGGGTGGCTGGATATAGTTGTGGTGCGTGTGGTTGGAGAAGAGGGGTTATGAACACTGTTAAGAAAGTGCCTCCAAGGATTATTTTTTGGGTGAGTTCTTCCACACCATGGGCCGTCGCTGCTTGTATTTATTTTCTGATAATTCTATTTTCTTTGTTATTGATATTTTGAGGTGATTGGCACTTTCTTATCAGATTTGTGTGTTTATCTGTTAAATGCTGCTTTAGCTATACGGTGTTTTGTTTTCTTTGTTATCTGTGTTATTTCTCTTGACTCATATTCCACTTTTCTCAGCAGAAGGGATGTTTGTCTCTTAACATTCCTGTCTGGTGTGGTTGTTTTTATGGGTTGTGGTGTGGTGGTGGCGAGTTATTATCTGTTTGTGATAGGGATGGTTGGGATTGGTTTGCCGTCTTGATCAAACTTTACGCTGACCAAAGTAGATCAGCTGTAGAAAGGAAAGAATGGTGTTTGTGAGGTCATCTGAAGGTGTGGCCCGGACGATTTGATTTGAAGTATGGGGAGGTGTCTTTCTTGTATTATTGGGTCTCCTGTTCCTTGGTGCCGTGTACCCGTTTAGCTTTTGTTGTTGCCGATCCGTTGTTTATTTAGACAGCTTTGCAGGTTGCCTCGTGCTTTCTGTGTTCGATGTGCTTCGCTTTTTAGTGATAAGGTTCGTTGCGCTTGTCAATGGTTCTGGACCAAGAGAGCGTGAGGTGTGTTTTATGTTTTAGCTGCTGGATAAGCTCTTGGGTTCTGTCTGTTGGTCGTTTTGATGTAGATATGCTGGTGGAATTTGAGTAAGAGCAGTTCTGAGTATCATTTTGATTAAAATCACCAGAATACAATAAAAATACGCATGTGTGTTCTTTAATTGTGGCTATTGTGGGATTGGTAATGTTAATCACAGCAGCAGCATACAATAGACACGTGGATAAATCCTGTGGGTGTACAGGGCATTGAATAATTGGTGGATTTGGTGAGGAGGTGTGAGAGTCTGTATACCAGTGGACAAACATATGACGTAACGAATGCGTAATAGTTGGCGATCAGAAGCGCATGAGTAGGGAGTGCATGGGGAAGTGGGGAGATTTTTTGATGGTGTGTTTTGGGCAAATTCAATTAGGCTCACCTAATTTATTTTTTAGTATGATTCGGAACGTGTCACCTATAGCTGTGTATTTGGTAGTTTGGGATGGTTGATTTGTCGCACCATGGTTTGTGACGATGTATGTGATTGCTTGTGTTGTATACCATGATATTAGAAGCATTTTGTTTCAATTAACGAAATTTACTGCATTGGATTAATTATCCGTTGTGACCTGATCACGTTATGGATTGGGGATTTTTTTGTAGAGGAGATAAGTTATAGAAATTAATGCTTGATCGCGAGGTTCAATCCGACAGTTTAGATATAAGTTGACAGTTTCTCTTCATTCGGCATAAACAAATAGAGTTGATTATATGTACAACCTTTAGGTGATATGCTAAGTGGTTAGATGTCGTGCCTATGTGTGTGTGTATGTTGGGTCTCGTTCATCGCTAGTCTGGGGTATCCTCTGTTGTTCGAGTGACGTGCTGAGTGAGGAGCTAAGTAGATGTGGTTTCGCCTAGAGTATGTGTCAAGAGTCAGCTCAGAAGGTACATGGTCCAGGTTTGACAAAGGTTTATCTAGCATGCTTGCTCATACTCTTAAGTCATGACTTTCTGAGTTTTCGTCTCTGTAAAGCACTCTACCGGGTGTCATATGCACCCGTAAAGTGGTTGTAGGAGGAAGTGTCTTTAGTGTCGCGCATGTAAACGGAGTCGACTTAAGAAGTGAGTTTCCTGTTGGTAAAGTAGTCTTCTCGACATGTGTGCATTCAGCCAATAAGACTTTTAGTTCAACTTATATAGATTGTTGGCTTGATCACCACATAGTCGATGGTCAAGGTAAGTGAAAGCATGACCTATATCTACTGACTTATTTAGATTACCAAGTGTAATTCAGTAGACATTACCGGGATTCCAGAGTAGGGCAAAGGCGAGATATGTGAAGTTTTGTGTTCTTTAGACTACCTAATCAATCTAATCGACATTTAGATGAAGTCAGTCATGGCACACTAAAATTACAACGTACAAATATTGCAATGTCTGAGCAGGAAATTATTATAATTATATCATGATGATTAGCATAGGTTCTGGGATTCTCATGTTAAATAAATACGCAGCATAAGATTTACTCCACACTGGGGTGTATTTTACAATTAAAGCAAACATAAAGTGTTACTTCTATAATGAAAGTAATAGGTAGCGTCATCTGTTCATGTTGGCATAGCCGCTTCCTTGGCCAGAGGTCATCGTGTTACAAGTGTATATACCGCGATCTTTTAGCTTGTTTACAACGTCTGGGTAGCAGATCACAGCAATCGACAGTGCTGGCCATTATGAGAAACAAAAAGAAAAAAGAAGCAAAAATGGCCTATTGTTAAGAGCCAGGTTGTGGTGGGCGCATTTTTTCGGTGGCTACTGTAGAAATATAGAGCTTCAACATGGAAGAGAAGTGGAGCCGCTGCGTCTAGGTTAAGAAAGTTATTTGTCGTCATTCTTTATCCATCGGCAGAATCGCATACACTATATATTAAAGTCAATATTCTAGCTTTTCTGATCTCATTTGATCACCATCATCACGTAATGTTAGACCCCTACTCCAAGAATATTGTAATGCGAAGCTGCGGCAGTGAGAGACGGCTTGACAGTTTCCTGCTCAACAATCTGGTGGATTTACGATTAAATGCAGGGGCGTAATATGGAAGGGTAAGG